ACCCTTCATAACCTCTGATTTATAATGATTGCTATCTACTTCCCCTTTTTGTCCTTTTATTTTTTTTTTTTAATTTATTTTAAAATGGCACCTTCACTTCCCGATTGAACCAGGGTGGGCTTTCTTTTGCGGTCATCCTCTTTGTTGACTGTGGAATTGTGGCTCTTTGGCCTTCGGACACACTCTTCTTACTGAACTCCCATTATTGAGGTGAGTGTGGAGAGGTTCCAGAGTCACGTCCATCCTGCACAGTGCGATAGGAGCGGGAGGTTTGACGGTGGAGCTGATTTGGCTCCATCTGATCAGGCATCCTGCCTTCGGTAGAGACCAGCGCCTGCTGCTCCAAAGGCAGGCTTGCTGCCCGGACCCCTTCTCTGGTCCCTATTATTTGTGCGATGCTGTATGTAGCATAGGCCAACTGAGGATTGGTTCCTGCCCTCCCTCCCTAGCCCACCTACACCCTGGGTCCCCTATCTCGTGTGGCATGGACAGCGCCCCTTTCAGCGTTTCTTTCTTTCTTTCCTGCACTAGGAGATGGGCAGGAGACCCTGACTGACCAGGCGGTGTCACCAGCTCAGCCCAGCCCCGGGCCAGGCTCACTTCCACTCAGTGAGGCTGGTGGCTTCAGCCCGGAGGCGACCGTCCCTCCTGTGACTCGCGCCGATAAGGACGGGGTGGCCATGCACCCCAGTTTTAGCAGCCCCCGCGCTGTCGAGCTGGATGAGTCCATCCCACCTGATCCCAACACAACCACCACCAACAGCGCCAGGCTGCCGACTCCTGCCCCAGCCGTCTCAGCGGATGCTACGACGGGGCTTCGGAATAAGAACCTGTCGGCCAACAGCAGCTCGGAGCTCCCCCCTCCTGCTCTGGCTGCCAACACCACAGATGCAAACCAGCCTGGCCAAAATGGAACAGAGCCCTCCAGCCCCACGGGGCCGACTGGCGCCGCGACTGTGACTCCAACGCATCAGCCACCAAAGGACGTGCTGGGTGAGGCTTCTCGCTACCCCGCCGCTCACCCGTGCGTAAGGGGCACCTTCTCCCACAGCACACCCAGCCTGGGGACTTAGGGCCTGGCCCCGTGCGGTGCTGAGTGCCTTTCTGCTCTCATTGACATTGCCTGGAGTCGGGGGCACTCAGCACCTCACAGGATTGGGCCCTTGGTAAGTGAAAGGGGGATCCTGAGACTAGGGCAAGTGGGAAAGGTTTGCGGCAGCTGCTGGTTCCTCTTCCATATGCAGATAGGGAAGCTGCTCCCTGGCTTTTACCACAGCAGCCAGCTGTCCTGGGAGGGGGAGAGTTATAAAGGCCCTTACATCTTTCCTCAAAAGTACAACCAATTAACCCTTTCCTTCCTAGGTACATGCACACTCACCCAGGGGCCGCATGCTGCTCTCCTTTATACCCGCGTCGATCCAGAGCAGCTCTCGTGAGGTCACACCAGTATAAGTGAGAGCAGTACGTGGCCCGGCTGGGATCTGGGGCTGGCAGCTTGCACGAGCAACCCCTAACTTCTGTAGCATGGGATAGATAGAAGCTACCCCCGCCCCCCATCATCAACCAGAAACTGTGAGGAAAATCCCAGCATGCAGTGCGGCTAGGTAGCTCTGAGCAGGGCGCATTGCATGCTGGGATCCTTAATGGCAGCAGGTCACAGCTGCCAGCGTAATCTCTCTTCTCTGGCCGGACGACGTTTCCAGAGCGGCTATTGCTGGCGATTCTAGGCCTCGTGTTAAAGGGCAGGGTGGCCAAGGGTGACCTAGTCTGCCACACTGCCCTAAAATCCCATTGGATGGCATGGGGACTCTCACTGACTTGGTTTTCTGGGCATTGCTGCTGATTAGAGAGGGGTTCTCAGCTCAGAGACCTGTTCCCCTCAACACGCCCGGGCTCTGAAGGGGGCTCTCTGGCTCTGGCAGGTTGTGAAATACTTACTGACTTGGTGATTAATCTGTATGGCATGTGTCACGGAGAGTGGTAGGCAGGCTCCCCTGAGGGCAGCGCCCCGGCTGTCCTGTCTCGTGTAGTTTATTCCTGACCAACAGTCCTGTCGCCTTTTTCAGTGCCATAGCTGTCAGGCACGTCCACAGGCTGCCGGGGATCCCTGCTCTTCCTTCTGGGGCGTTGTCGTGGGGATTCCTCTGCTAGGAGATGAGCACCATTTGGTGGCCACCTGGAGGTGATGGGACGTAGCCATGGAGAGGTGGGGGGAGGACAAGACAGGGTGAATGGCCTTTTCAGACTCTCTCAACCTCCAGAAGAAGTAAAGGCCCTCCCAAGCCTTGCCCACGTCCCACCCCGCTCTGTTCTCCGGCACAGAGCCAGGGCTCCAGTTGGTGGCCTTCTGAACAGCTCGACACAGAACAGCAGGGGGCTCAGGGCCTCTCCACTGCCTCCCTGAGGATCCCAGGGGGAACCTGGAGCAGAGAGCGCTCTGGGCTCATGCCAGGAGCTGGGCATGTCCCCTAGGTGCCAGCAGCGCCGCCTGCCACCCATTCCAGGCCATGCAGGGTGGGGATGGGCAGACTCAGGATTTCGCCTTGTAGATAACTGCCTCTTTTTCTTCTGTGCAGCAACAACGGGCAGCTCCCCGCTGGAGCCTTCTGCGTTCAGCACTTTGGGGCCCACAACAGGGAACCCTGAACCCACTGCAGGGAACCCTGAATCCACCCCACAAACAGCCCAGGAGAATGCCACAGAGGAGAGCACCGCAGGGCCCACTACCGTCCCTGCTGCCATGACAACAGGGAGCACACCTGCCACTACCACCCCCAGCACCACCACGGTAACCCCCAGAGCTTCCTCCCCCAACAGGGCAGCCACAACAGCCGTAGGGCAGTCATCAGCCAATCCCGTGCATGAGAAGGCTTCTGTGTTGGATGTGGGAGACGACGATGGTCAAGGTAAATGCTCTCAAGACCCCAGTGCTCCGATCTCTGCTCTCCCTAACTGGTTATTGAGAGCGCAGCAAGTGCAGGGGCATGGGAGAGGCATTTGACCTGTGGGTTTGAGCTGGGGGAGCCCTTGTGGTGCTGTAGGGCAGAGTCCAGAGGGAGACTGGGATTGGCTGCTCCAGCCCCGGGACCTTACCCTCTCGGTACCGTCTTCTCCTCCCTGCAGACCTGCCCAGCTCCGCTGTTGCCGGCGCGATGGGGGCTGACCCCCTGGTGATCGGTGTCATCTCCATGTTCGTCGTCATGGTGGGGATCCTGGCCCTGGTGGGCTTACTGAGATACCGGCAGCGCCACAACCGGATGGAGTTCCGGCGACTGCAGGACCTGCCCATGGTGAGCAACGCCCCCGCCCTGCCCAGGGCCCTTGTGCCTTGAGCTCCTGGCTAGCTCCCAGCTGTGTGGCCAGGCCACAATGCAGCTCCCCTTTAGCCGTGCTAGCAGCGACGGCGACAAGCTGCGCAGAGGGAATTCGGCTCATTCCTCATGCCAGTGACTGGGAGGGGAACGGGGCTTGTGGGGGTGGGTCTGGAGAGCCTCCTCCAAGGTTCATTGCCAGGATGTCAGGTGACGAGAGATTTAGCGACAGGATCCACCTTGCCAGCCCTGTTCCAGAAGACAGACGGACAGTGTGAAGGCAGCCTGACATCCAGAGTCAGTATTCTTCCTCACTCCTGCCCTGATGTGTTATGCAGTGTTCCTGGGTGGCTGTTAAACAGCTGCTATGTCCCCCCAGAGGAGGTTGCATTTCCATGGTGGGTGAAGCGATCACTCTATGTAGCCTTTGAGAGACAAAGTTCTTCTTCGAATAGATGCAGCCATGTATTCCAGTCAGGTGTGTGCGCGCCCAGCACACGGGAGCCAGAGAAATTCGCCTAGGAGTACCCAGAGGGGGCAGTGTGCATGCCTCATGGCCACAGCCCCTCCCCTGGCTACATGAAGCAGCGCTGCCCTGACCCACCCTCAGTTCCTTCTTATCACCCCTCGGCTGGAGTCAGAGCTTAAGGGTCTTAACCTCCCACTATCTCAGCGAGTGTAGTTTTTCCCTCTGATAGCTAGATAGATAGTACCCTTTGTGTTAGTTGTATTTGTTTGTTTTCCTCAAGGATGCCCTCACCAGGGTTTAAACATTGTCCTTCGCGCGGGGGAGCGATCCCCACACACGGTGCTTGCTCTGCCTTGGCGAGGCCCACCTTAAAGAGCGTTGTGCGATCTGCACGTCGTTCAGGGGATAGGCTCAAGTGGCTCGGGACCTTCGCCTGACGCAGCGCCTGCTTCGGTCCCGAGGTGCGTGTCGGGTTGGAGATCGTCCGTGGACTCAGAGCGCTGCCGCTTCACGTTCCCGAGCAGTTGCCTCCCCGAAGAAACGGAGGAGCCCTTCCCTGTCACCTCTGCCAAGGAAAAGGTTGCATAATACCACTCCGGACTGCTCCAGATCTCGGGGTGACTCTTCTGCCTCCCCCAGGAAAAGCGTGGGCTGGCACGGAGTAGGTACCGGCCTGTGGGATGGCGCCAAGTACCGCTAACCCTTCTGAGTGGGGAGCTTAGAAACCCTGTACCGTTGACTCCCGTTCTGGACCCCGGGTGTCTGAGTCCGGCACCAATGAGGGAGATGCCAGTACCAACTGTTTCCAGGTCAGCGGCATACCAGGCAGCTACAGACCTCCTTTGCCTTTTGGTCCTGATCTCTTCTTTGGTCCAGGACTGTCGTCTACAGTCCGGTCGGTCGACTGAACGAGCCACTGAACCCTCAGGTCTGTCTGCACCGCACCCCAGCGTGCAAAGCCGGTACCAGAATCGGTATAGGGGACCTCGGGAGTGGGATTCTGCTCGGCACCACCGCAGTCGGCCCAGCAAAATGCTTCCATGGCGCCTTTCACCGCCCTCGACATCGGTACCATCAAACACTCCCATGTTGCTGCTGCTGACTTTGGGATTGACACTGCTTCCGGCACCGGCATGCACGGTGCCAGCAGTACCACTTCCATGGGCAACGCCGCTTCCTGCCTCGTTCTGAGCAATGGACGAGTCGGTTACTCACTTCTTCTGGTCTCACTCCATGCTTACCCCCGGGATCTCGAGGCTCCCCAACCTCTGAGTCAGAGCTGTCATCCTCCTGCGCTCCATCCCCTGACCAGCATGGGGGACCGCTGACAGACCATTATGGGTACCAGGATTGGCGTTCTTCTCTGGCTCGGTGTCTGCTGGCTACCAATGCCTTATCCGTGCCAGTGGCCTCCATGGAATCTGTGGGACGCTCTTCCTTTGCGGAGGTCCCACTCTGTCTTGCTTGAAGGCGAAATCACTGGCTAGGTCTGCAGTGGTGACTGTTGATCCGCTGCAGGCCCAAGCACTGGTGTAACCTCCATAGTCATCCCATCCGGGTCCGTAAGCCCTTTAACAGGGTCCAGCTTTGGTCAACTGAGGGCCTCGTCTCCGTGTCCGGACGATGCTGTGCTGCCTTGCTCATCCTTGCCTTCGATACCAGAGGATTTTAAGGTGTGCCAAGACCTTTTGTGGCATGTAGCTGCTTCCCGCAGTATTCAAGTGGAGTTCTTGCAAGAGAACACCCACAAATTGGTGGACATCCTGCAGCCGTCTGCCCCTGGGAGAGTCACCCTCCCGATCAGTGATACCCTCCTTGAATCGGCTAAGCATGCCAGCTTCGGTACTGCCGGGGGCTAAGCAGAATTTGGGCATTGCCCCAATGTCCAGTAATCCATTGAGGATTTGGCCTTCGACAGCCAAACACTGTTCTTGGACAAAACTGACAAGATGCTGCGCTCCTTCAGGGACTCCAGGCCTCCCCTGCAGTCTTTGGGGGCCGACTATGCAGAGACGTGCAACAGCAGCAGCAGACTTTCACTCCTCCGAGGCACTGGGGGCTACCCCAGAAAGGAGCATAGTTCCCACAGGAGGAAGCAGTCAGGCTCAGGGTTCGGCCAGTCCACATGCCCTCTCTGGAACGCTGGAATTTCCAGTGGTTGCTTCTCCCTCCTCATCTCCCCACTTTGGGGACAGGCTGGCCCACTTTCACAATGCTTGGGGCTCGATTGCTACCGAAAGCTGGGTCCTAAGCACCGTCATGTCGGGTTATGCTATCCCGTTCCTCCCCATCCCTCTTCAGGGACCCGTCTCATGAGATATTGCTCTTCGAGCAGGTCCATTTTCTGCTGGCTTTGGGAGCAGTGGAGGAGGTTCTGCTGGAACACCAGGGTCATGGCTTCTACTCCCAGTATTTCCTGGTACCCAAATCCATGAGAGGAGTAAGACCTGTCCTCGACCTTCACAGCCTCAACAAATATCAGGTCCATGAGGTTCCGAATTGACTCCTCTCCCGGCCTGGTCTCAGAACGACGGGTTTGCGGCTCTTGATCTTCAAGATACCTATTTAAATGTGGCAATTTTGCCAAGCCACAGAAAGTTCCTTCGGTTTGTTGTGGCAAAACACCACTTTCAGTGCACAGTGCTTCCATTCGGCCTCTCTTCTGTCCCCCCGGCTTTTATCAAATGCATGGTGGTTGTTAGAGCATCTCTCGGGAAGAAGGGAATTCACATCTTCCCGTATCTGGATGGCTGGTTATGAAGGGGAAGTTCTTGTTCACATCAGCATCACAGTGCACTTGCTCCATCATCTGGGTCTCATTCTAAACCCTGGAAAGTCAACCTTGGCTCCCACTCAGAAGAGAGAGGTCACTGGGGTCCCGTTAGATTCCACGACGTCCAACATTTCTTCCAACCGACCATTTTCAGGCAATTCGCCATCTTTGACTTAGTCTGCAGTCTCAGCCTCCCACAATAGTTCAGATGTGTCTGAGGCTCCAGGGCCCCATGCCTGCTTGCATGCACGTGGTCCAGTTTGCAAGGTTGCGCTTTTGCCCCCTTCAAATGCGGCTCAGGATGGTCTACTGTCTTACTCTTCACCCTCTAGATAGTTTGGTTTGTCTTCATCCACTGGTCCTGGACTCCTTGCAGTGGTGGATGTGTACAGAGAACATTTGCCAAGGCGTTTCCTTTGTCTGGCCCTTGCCAACCAGGTTGGTTGTTAGCGACGCGTCCCTGATGGGTTGGGTTGGTGCACCTGGGAGCGCTGACAGTACAGGGGCTGTGGTTGGAGCAGGAGGCCTCACTCGATATCAATGTGCTGGAGTTTCGGTCCATCTACAATGCATGCTATGCCTATCAAGAGATTCACACAGTTCCCACTGCGATGTATTATGGGAACAAAGAAGGGGGAGCAAACTCCAGATTGTTTTGCCTAGAGGTGATCAGCACTAAGGAGAATGATCTGATAGCCGTTCACTTGCCCAGGGTTCAGAATCATCGCGCGGACTGTCTCAGCGGGTATTTTTCCCTGAGTCACAAGTGGTCCTCGAAGACGAGTGCTCTCCGGGTCATCTTCACAGCTTGGGGCATCCTGACAATCAAGCTGTTCGCTACAAGAGACAACAGGAAATGTCATCTGTTCTGCTCTCCGGGGGGACCTCAGGTCCAGGTTCCCTGTCTGACTCTGTCAGGTCATCCTCAAGTTCAAGGCGAATCAGGCCAAACTCATTCTCGTTGCCCTGGCCTGGCCAAGACTGTGCTGGTTCTCCAACCTTCTCGCACTGTCTATTCGGCCTCCCATACCGCTGCCTCCCCATCCCAACTTACTCAGAACCAAGGCCACACCTCGCATCCTTCATCAACGACTTAGATATTGGCATAGAAAGTACGCTTATTAAGTTTGCGGATGATACCAAACTGGGAGGGATTGCAACTACTTTGGAGGACAGGGTCATAATTCAAAATGATCTAGGACAAATT